GGGGAGGGAGCTGGGGGATGTGACTCTAAAAAGGTGGACTATGGTTTCAATAGGTTGTATTCAGCACAGTGTGACACTGATTATACAATGTGTTCTGACCCTAGCTGACTAGTATCAATATGTAGGTCAAGTGTGTTTGGCACAAAAGCGGACATTCTGCCATCTTTAGTGTTCTTATGTATGTCCTTAGTAAAGTGTTGGTCTTTCCCAGCTTGCTGGAATATAGTAAAAATCAGAGAAGGCCATAAACTCCACACGCTACAATTTTTCTGAGATTGATATCAAAGGTACCAGTACTTAACTAGTTCCAAACCTGGGAACCTTTATGTACACTAGTTTAATCTTGTGCATCTAAAAATGTCAGCAACTGGTTTCTCACAAGGCCATTATGTTGTCCTATTTGGAAGCAGTAATCTCATAATTTCTGTGGGCAGAGATAAAGGAGAAGAAGAGTTAAAGCTGAACTGAATGCATGTAACTAAACATACAATTTATCAAAACTGGAGCAGTTGCCCATGGCAACCAGTTAGCTTCTCTCTTCAGTCTGTTCAGTTAAGATTTGCAAATGAGAGAGATGCTGATTGGTTGCCATGCACATCTGCTCCAGTTTTTTTCTGCTCCAAAAGTAACCCACCATTACCCTCCCCAGCTACTTACCTGAAAATTGTATCCTCAAGCTTCAGCACTTTTTTTTTTTCTGAAGACCTTCAGAAGACAGTCTCAAAGATGCCAATGAGAAAACAGTGGCCAGGCATAGCCAGTAGGAGGGAGGTTTGACCCATAGGATGTAAACAGTGCATTGGAATAAGAATGAAACAGCCAGGGAAGTATGCAGCTGGGGTGAATACTTGTAGCAAGGCAATACTACAGTGCCCGCAGCTTGATTTTCTATGTGTTTTGGGCAGACAGAGGTGCTACTGGATTTTGCCTATGCTGCCTTAGGTGCTACTACATATAAGATACTATATAGGAGATAGGTGCTACTACATATAAGATACTATATAAGAAATAAGCTATCACACATAAGGCTGACCATAGAATCTGATTGCATAGTCTACCTGATTTAACCTCCTGCCGCCCGCCCGTTGAGAAGTGAGAGCAATCATTGCATCGGCGGTAAAAGCTTTTAAAGCGTCGCCTATGGCCAATTTGGGGTATTGTAGTTTTTTGAGGCTTCGCGCGTGCGCGCAATTTTAACTTTAAGGCTTGACATGCTTGGTGTCTTTTTACCCGACGTGACCCCGTCTATTATATTTTACCAAAAAATTGGGTAATAAATGTTTTATAATTTAATATAGGGGAAACAGTTTTTTTTCAGTAATTTTTCCTTAACATAGTAAAAAATAAAACCCCCAGTGGTGATTAAATACCACCAAAAGAAAGCTCTATGTGTCCCTAAAAAAAATGGTATAAAATTAATTTCAGTACAGCGTTGCATGACGGAATAAATGTCCGTCAAAGTACCGCAGCGCTGAATACTGAAAAATGGCCTGGACAGGAAGGGGGTTTAGCACCACGGACTTCAAGTGGTTAATACTTATTGAAAGGATTGTTTGGATTTGTCCTCGTATTACATAGTTATGGCAAATCTAAATGAGATTGTATAGTGTATGGCCAGCTTAACAATAATGTCACAAAGCCATGCTTCAGGTCGGCTTTAAAACCCAATTGAAATTTCTGATTCAAACAACTAAATATATTACAGGTGCATGAAAAGGAAAGGTGGGCAGATTAGCCTGTGTAGAAAAGTCTGTCCCTTGGCAGCAGCTGCAGAGACGGACGCTTGCTCTGTGTGTGGAAGCAGTAGTCTCTCTGCATAGATCTGCCCCCCCCTTGCTGAGTCATACCTATAGCACTGCAATCAGCAAAGCTCATGCTCTCTGTTGATTTACCCAAAGTCCTTTGGAGTTTGAGTGTACTGTATTACTCGTGTTGCTGTCTGTGCAAACCTGTGTGTAAATGATTTTTACAATCAGTATTTTGCATGTACAAAAAAGGGTCTAAGTACCTGCAACTGCTAGTAACGTTTCATTTTCTATTTTGAATTTTTGATCCAGGTCTTCTTGGACAAATTCAGCAAAGAGCTTCAGAGTGAGTTTCGGTCCAGTGGAATATTTGTGCAGTTGCTAACTCCTTTGTGTGTGGCAGACAAACATGAGCCATCTGCTGGGATTTTACGTAAGCTGGCGTTTTTTATCCCATCATCCGATGTTTATGCACGACATGCTGTAAGAACACTGGGAGTCTCTTCCTGGACCACCGGATACTGGGCCCACTCCTTGCAGGTAATAACAATAACATGCCCAGTACATTTATATTGATATACCATAGTTAATGTAAAAGAAAACCCCAGGAAGTGAGAGCTAGTGTCACCCACCTTCTGCCTGCTTGGGCTTTCAGCAGAGTGGTGGGGGGGCTTTGTGACTTTTGCCTGCCATACAGCAACTGTGACCACCAGTGTTTACACGTGTTTTCCATCACAATGGAAGCATATGACTCTGTCAACAGCACCTGTCCACACAGGCAACGTTCAAATGTAGTGATCTGCTCGACATTTTCCTTATAGTGCCGACCACTAGGGTGACATCTCTTTCCCCTGGCACCAAAATCAGCAGGGTTCACATCTTAGGCTGGGTTCACATCTTGGCGTAAGGAATAAGCACGTTTGCCGCTTGTTGCGTGCCGCGCGTTTACGAGGGCTATCCGGCTGTATCCTAATGGATACGCGCGGAAAATACGCCCCAAAGAAGCTCCTGTCATTCTTTGGGCGTAGGGCGTTTTTCAGCGCGTTCCTACGCGCTGAAATATGCCCAGGTGGGAACCATGCCTTACTCCTAAACCTTAACAAGATAGAAATTAAGCAGAACAAGACCTTGTTCAAACGCATGGACTAATTCTGCTGCAGGACAAATGTAAATTATTGTTTATCTTGATGCAGGAAAGAAAAGCCTGAAGTGTTACTTTTAAAAGAGAACTATGGCCAAAGCTTTTTTGGCTGTAGTTCTTTTTAGGTTCACAGGAGGGCATTTACTAATACCCCCCTGTGAACTCAAACTATTGCCAGCTATATGTTGACAGTGCAGAGCTCGCTGTCAGCTTCCTGGCGGGCTCGGCACGTGGAGCTGCGAACACGCCCGAGCCCATCCTTAGTCTACACCCTTTATTTAGTTTTCTAGTTATAACGTTTCAGACAAAGTCCTTTTTTGAGATTTAAATTAAAGGAGAACTATGAGGTGAGTGCTTTTCACTCATCCTCATAGTTCTAGCCGACCTGTGGCAATGAGACTGTTACAGGTCGGCTCAGTAGATCGGGAGGTGAGCGAACACATACCGGTGTTCACTCACCTCTTGATCCTGTCACGGCTCTCTGCCGTGACAGGGGAGGGGCTGGATTCCCCTCTCCCCGCTCCGATCCGCCAGCGCTGACTGGCGGAACGGACGGAGGAGGGGGCGGGTACCGCTGGCTCTGCCTCCTAGATAGGCCGAGCCAGCTGTCAGTCACGCAGCTGGGCGGATCTTGGCATAATTGTCGGGATCCGCTTCCGCTGCGGCGTCTCAGTATACCGCGAGCTACTGCCCGCGGTATACTGAGCCTAGGGTGACGGGAGGACGCTAGTTTGTGTCCTCCCGTTACCCTAAGGAGAACTATGGGGAAAAGCCTGAACCCCATAGTTCGCCTTTAACTCTGTGACCTGATCTTATAAGGCTTATAAATTTTTTATACCAAAGGATTTGACAAAGCTGGCTTTGCCTCTTTAGAGCCAGAACCAGCTGTGCCTGCCCCCTTCCCCATCTGTCCCTCCAGTCAGCGCTGGAAGAACAGAGAGGGGAATCTGACAGTCACTGTTCTCTGCAGGGAGAAGATAGTGAACTGAGTGATCACCGGTTTGTGCTTGCTCAGCTCTCGATCAATAGGGCCGATGTCTGACAGCACACGTCGGCTCTGACTATTTCACTCATCCTATAATTCTCCTTTAACACCAGCCACCACTGAACTGACATTTCTGACCCCCACCTGTGGCCACTGGGCTAATGTGCATCACCCCCCCCTCCACCCCTCCACATCCACTGCACTGATGCGCATGACTTCTCCTGCTGCTACTGCACTGATGCACATTACGTAGCTCGCTTGCCACTGTTCTGCTACAACCCTATCCAGTGGCCACAGCATTGCCTTTACACCCTTGTCCACGCATAATTTATCCACCACCACTGCACCCACACAAACACACGACCATGCCTGTTGCCAATACATTGATCTGAACTTCACTTGCTACCAAAGCACACTTCTTCACTGGCCACCAGTGCACTGACTTGCCTGCACTGACATGCACTTCTGTATTCATCCTGTTCAAGTAACAGGCACCTTTAGCTAGTGTAACATATTTGCGTTTAGCCTTTTACATTGTTTTGGTATAAAATAAGGATTGACGGCTGAAAACTGATTTTTATGACTGCATTTGTTTCTACAGCTTTTTGCATTCCGATGGGTACCTGGCTGGATGTGCACATCAGTAGGAAGAGTTATTCACCACTGAAGATACAAAGCAACTTTATTACTGAACCACAGCAGACTTAATTATTTCTTCTACCAGCACTGATGACTTTAAAACTTGAGTTGCAGGCTGATATTAGTTTCTTTCTGTATTACAAACAACAAAGATTGTGCATATGTTGCAACCCTGTTAATTTTATAGTTGTTAGTAGTATTCTGATAGTATTGTTTGTTATTTATATAGTGTGACAGTGAGATAGGATGTACCGAGAGAGGATGTACTTTCCCATAGTGTACTGGTCACTATTCTATTCAGCCAGTTGGATGTGGTACAGGAGAGCATGCTACTACTAGGAATAGTCTGTGGGACTAAAGTATTGCATTTTGCACAATATATGTTTATTTACTCCTAAACACTAGCTTTTCTGTTCTGATATGGCTGAACATCACCCTCCTTTAACACAGACAAGAGGCCTACCCAGGTGGTTGTGTTTGGGTGCTGGCACCTGAATGGAACCTGAATGGAACATGAAGCAACTAATTGGGAAGGGGGATAGGATTATAGCAGGGTTAAGGCATTTTTTACTGTAAATAAAATGTGGACTCCTGCCCAAATCACTCTGTGCCAAACCCCCCCCCCCGCATCATTGATGAGGCTAGTTTTCCACTTTATCACAGCTATTCCCTCCATTTCCGCAGCACTTTAAATCGCTGGTGTTGGTGACTATGGGGAGCAACGGCCCCACTCTCTTACTCATGTGACAGTCCTCAGGACTGGTGATTGGTTGCTAATCCCAAGCACTGTCACATGAAAAAAGTCATGTTCTCCGTATACTGAAGCTGCCTGTAAAGGAGAGAGGAGTGTCGAGAGAGAGCATTGGCAAGGTGAGTTTAAGTGGTTCTGGAGGGGGGTTCCTTTACAAATACACTGTCACTTTGCCCTGCATGAGCACAAGTGAAGGTAAATAGACCGAACTGTATCCTCCCATGATATCTGGATAGTTAGGTGGTAGCATTCAGAAAAAGCTGTAGGTATAGCAAAGAAGACACTGGACAGGTTGAGCTGAGTCTGATGACTGCATACATATTAAGTTACAGCAGTTTACAAGCTAATATCCATTTTCCATGTGTGTCTTCTGCACCCCATATACATAAAGACTTTCTGCAAATTTGGTATTATTTGCATGGTATGTTGCAGTTTGGCAGCATCATTCACAGCCCCTCCAGCTTTATACACAAGCTAGGGGTGCAGGCCAACTCTGGGTCTCTCCTAATGCCCTTTCTTCAATTCGTCATATAAGTAAAGTTGCAACCTACATACACCAGCATAGATACTTATGCACCATACAGACCACCCCTTGTTGTCTTTGTCAGTTAAATAGTAACACCAAAAATACTCAATCAAGATGATTGTTCCCCAGAAACAAGCAACACTAATCTTATTTATGTGCGATCCCCCAACAATATATGGTCATTCCGAGCCGCAGTGCCTGTGTTTGTCACACTTTAGATGTTTTGCGATCAACAGTAGCTCATTTGCTAACTAGAAATGTGTTAACCTCTGATAGAGAAAGAAGGATCTTTTGGTACAAACTGTTTTTTATATTTTTTTATTTTATGATGTATAACTCGTTCTGTATTGTTTTTGTGTAAGTAAACAAGTATTAGTAATACTCTGATTTTCCTCTTGTGTTTTTGTTTAGTATAGATGTATCTCCTGCACTCCTTACAGTGTCTGGAACCCGTAATCAATATGGTGCTTGAAATAACGACCACGGATGACGCCGTGTATCTTCAAGTTCAGTGTAATGGAGAATCGCCAGCACTCGGAGAACATCGTTTAAGAACTTGGTTTTCATTTATTGAAACACAACGTCACCTGTCTCAGAAAGCCAACATAGATGAAGGGGCTCTAAGGTGGGCCCGAAACGTTGGATTTCTGATACATGTGACATTGTGTTTCTATAAATGAACACCAAGTTCTTAAATTATATTGTGTGCTGGCGATACCCCATTATTCTGCTCTTGTGTTTTTGGGCTGCGGTGAACAGATTGGAGGGAACTTGGGCTGTCTCTGATGCATGCATTGATATGAAAGGAGCCAGTCCTGAGTCAGACCAGACAGTGCAAAGAGGGCACTTGCAGAGCTTATAGGGGCTGCAAGCATGTAGGTAAGCTTTACAGATGGTCCTTCCGTTTGAAAGCATGGACCTCTTAAACTGGTACATGTCCACCAGAAATCAAATAATAAGGAAATAATTTCATTAAGGTGCAGCGAAATACTAACTACTCTATATGACCTTTTTTCTAAACCAACCCCTAGCCCCTGCAGAAAATTCCTTGCCATGTAGTATGCTGCAGAGAAGAATTGCTGTGCCCTGTGTAAGAGCAATGGTCTCTCTGATGTTTTTTTTTAGAATTGCAGCTGAATTTTCAATTGGGCTTTTACCTTTCTATGCTGCTCATGGCAAAGATTGATTTGATGACCCTTCCCTTGACATGCACCCACATCCAAAGAAAAGGAATTGTTCCCTTTTGTGGATGTTTATTCCATACATATGATTTATGTATATATTTCAAACAATGGATGCATTATACGAGATGAATAGGCCTTCTCTATAAAAGTGAATAATGAACTGTTTTTATTTGTTTGTGGAAAGCAAATAAGAGCTTCCATTTTGTACCATTGCAGAGTATAGTCTTCTCAGTATACTGCAACATGCAGGGCTGTTTCACAGCTATGTGTGCACCCTTGCTTATTTATTTCCAATGGGTCCATTTACAAAAAGCACATGTGCATAGGTGTGAACGAGTAAGCACCCAGATGGGAGACTCTTTATGAAAATCACACAACAGAAAGTGTTTCTTGATAATGAAAACAAAGCATATTCTTCAAGTTCTCCAATTCAGAAATTGGCTTACTGTTTTGAAGACAAAAGCCCCACCACAATAATTTTAAGGCCAAACTTTCCAGCATGTCATTGCCAGGGCTATTAACATTTCTGTGAATGGACTCGAGGATAACAATATTTAAATAGTCAAAATATTTACATAGGGCAAAAATATTTAAAGAGGAAATAATTTTTAACCTTTTATCTGTACTAGTAAAACATTAGGTTATATTTGTGATGCTTCAAGCGACTAAGACTTATATTTAACGCAAAATAGCCTAAAGGTTAAAGATTTACATTTTGTTCCAGGATTGATCTTTCCTGTATGAAGAGATTTTTTCAGTCAAAGAAATGTCCCTGGGTTTCCGGTGGGAACAAAGTCAAAGTGCGCTTGACCGCAATATCACAAGAGGAATATAAGAATTAAAGCCATATTAAAGTCAAAAGGTTTTTTTTTTTCCAAATAAAGTTTTATTGAGTTACAAATATAGAAGACGTCTTCACATATATTTATACAAATACACAAGCATTTGGGGTCAGTGCCAAGGGTACAAAATTGTAGAATACTTGTGACAGAGACAGGAGAAATAGCGGCAATGCCGCTCAGCTATTGAGACGACAGTAGTACAAAAGTTGACAACTACAGGTGGCTGATGTACTGTGTTGACAGGCAGGATAGCGTTTAGATTACAATTATAGAGTCCAAACACAGGGCACTGGCGTAAAGCCTTCCTCTACTTTGGTATGAGTGGAGATGTCTCCACCATTATTTGACATGGCGTGCACTCAGCAAATGAAGCTCCCAGCTCTATTCACAGAGGTGCCGGTGGTGCCCCAGCATGTAGAGATAAGGAATGCACTCTAATTAAAAGGTAGCCTGTGGTGCCCCCCTTTGGGGTATCCAAGCGTGTCAAACTGCTACACCCTGCTTAACTAACTGACAGGACAAGACAAGGAAGTGGGACAAAGGGATACATAGGGGAGATAGGTAGGGAAAGGGATGAGTGAGAAAGGTTTTCGGGCTACTTGAAGGTGCGACGTATGAGGTAGGGTATTGAAGGTCATTTATATAACACAGAGTCGGCGAGAGGCTGGTGAGGAGTAGTACTTATCAATCCAGGGGAACAGGTTTTTTCAAATTTGCCCATATGGTCTTTGAGTTGAGCTGTTCTCTTTTCCTGTGACATAATCCAATTGACGTGGGCAGTCACACTATGGATACTGAGGGGCTTTGTGAGCCAATTTTTAGCAATTTCCCTTTTTGCAGATGTGCAAATATGCATAGATAGATTAAATTGTTTACGAAGAAGACCTTCCGGCTTACAGTTAAGCAATGCAAGAACCGGGTCTTTGGTGAGGGGATCTGAGAACAGTGACGATAAGGGCAAACACCTCATCCCAGAAGGACGAGGCATGAGGGCAGCTCCACCATATGTGGAAAAAGGTGCCTGGTTCCGGACAGCCCCGGAAGCAGTTAGGGGAGCAATCAGTGTTAAAGATAGCCACTCTGGTCGGCACCATGTACCAACGCATGAGGACCTTGTAGTTAATTTCCAACATGCTTGCACAGCGCGAGCTGGATTTAGTATTTTCCCAGGCTTGTTGCCAGGTGTCCTCATCAATGGGGGACCCAAGGTCCTTTTCCCATTGGGGGACATAGGAGGGAGGAGGCGTGTCTGTGGGGGAGATCAGTGCGGCGTATAGGAGAGAGATGAGTCGCGGGTTGGTGTGGCAAACTCTCTCAAAGGGAGAGAGCCTTATGTTGTTGGTGTGTTGTGGTGTGACAGCTGTAATGAAATGTTTGATCTGGAGATACCTGAATATTTCCTTACTTGGGAGTTGAGTATGTTCTTGGAGGTATGGGAAGGATTTAATACTTGCGTCGGTGCGTAGTTGCCTCAGGGTGATAAGGTTGCGTTCTGACCACGCAGAGAACCGTGTCGGATGGCACATGGCAGGGGGGGAGAGGGGATTTGCAAGAATGGACATGAGAGGCAACGTAGGGGAGAGAAGGCCATAAGAGGTTTTAACTGAGTCCCAAAGTCTTAGGGAGTGGGACGTAATCGGGTTGGGTATGTGTGGCCTCTGTTTCGGCGTAAGCTATAGCAGGTTAGCAGCTGACGTTGGGCGCACTAGCATATTCTCTAAAGCCACCCATGCTGGGGTCTCGAAGTCC